GAAGATTTATTTCCAAATAATTAAGTGATGAAATACTTTTACCATTTTAAAATTAACTTTCATGCTTTTTGATATTGACCATTTTGTTACATCAAAGTTGCTCGGGATTGATAACCTGTTTTTATTTTATTTTATTAATCTAATTATTAGAGCAACTGTGTTGCATGATTTCCTTATTTTGTCTGGAAATTTTGAGGTGTCAGCAAGTTTAGAATATCGACCACACCTGGCAATTGATTTAAATCAAAGCGTTAATAATAAATTTGTATGCTTAGATTATCATTAATGTTCCATTTCCCGACATTAATGTCGAAATTCAATTTGGTAAGATATGCCATAACAATGTTTCCTTAATTAATAGGTATTATATATGAATCGTTGATTTTTTATAACGGCAAAAATGTTTTTTTTTTTTTTTTTTTTTTTAAAAAAAATTATATTTATGATTGGAAATGCATTCAAATGGCATCATTGCAGGTATCACAAATTCAAATGAAGACAATTATTTATTAATATTTTTCCAAAGTCCATTCACTCCACATATCATCATACATCTTACACTTTTAAGATTGTTATTGACGTTGATCCTGTTCCAAATGAACAAATATTGAATTGATAATACCTGAATGCCCCAATTGAAGACTTTCAACAATGATCAGTCTGATAGGTAAAGTTAATTAGTTTAAAAGATGTTATTAAAGAATAAACTTATCATATTTTATACGAATTTTGTAGGTACACGAAAATAAGCGTTTGCAGCAATTCGTCATCTTTATTGTAAATATAGTAAATGAAATTTGTTTACATAAATTAGACCTATGTGAGATAGAAATTACCAATCTTGTTCGGATCTGGTTTATCTGTTGATTAAATGGTTACGAAACAATATATGACGAGAATCATATTAATCATATTGCGAATTTGTGAATTTTGCTTCTGGGTAACTTCAAGTAATTTTTGTAAATATTTATTTAATGATTTATTTTACTACTTGTTATTTCCTTTTTTAAATTTAGGACTTAATGGGGAGTCTCAAAAAGTTTGGGACATAGAAAATGTACATTACTGCTTGACAGAGTTCCATCCCGTCGAGTATATTGCATAAAAGATCAATAACTCCACAAAAAAAAAGAATGGATGATTTGTCCGTTTTAGTTAATAACACACTACAAAAGTAAAGTCAAACATCAACTATTTACTGGAAAATTTGGTAAATATAGTGGTGGCTTTATTATTGATGCTATGAAGATTGATGAAGAGAAATATACTGTCAAGAGCACAGAATCAGATAAATCGATTTAAACAACTTGAGACCTATTTACAATTCAATTCCAATGAAATTTAAATTTTGGCTACAATGGATTAAATCAGATGATATAATCAAACGAAAAACTGCTAATTTAACAGATTAAAGAATTGTCTATCAGTAATGAAACTCAAATCGAAACAATTAGCTCAAAGCTTGCGGTGATTACATTTTCAGGTGAATTCAATGTATCGAATAAAGTCAGTTCAATTTTTCAATTAATAACATTTACTATGTCTAAATTACTGGTATATATCTGTTCTCGGCTTTTCTTTTATTTAGAGCACTACTAATTCAAATTACGAGTAAAATTTTAATGATCTCATGTTGCGTTTGTTCTATATATTGTGATATCATTGTACGCGCGAAAATATCGCAATTTGCTGAATTATTTTATTTCAAAATATTTATTTCTAGAGATCATTAAAGTATTAGTGGATCAAAAAATACAAGTCACACAATATAAAAAAGCCAAAGTCAATAACACAAAATCTACTTTTTTAAATTTGTCTTACATCACCACAAAATGTCAAAAAAACCTATTTTTAAAAATGGCCTGGTTTTTTTTAAAAAGAAAACTTGTAGATGAAATGTCACTATAGTCTACCACCATATTTAACTCAAAAACTTAAAACACGACTTTTTGCTATATATATCAAAAAAATTATTAAAACCTTACAATTTATGAAAATAATGTGAGAAAGCAAAAGAATTGGTCTATTATACATTATTTGAGAAGGTTTTATTTTTTATTAGAAATACAAGTATTGAAGAGCGCATTCCTAACCGTATTACAGGTGTATTGGTGCAAAAACTTATATTCAATTTGAATATAACTGCCTTCTAAACAAAAAAAATATTTAGAAAGATGCACCCAATGAATTTGCACCTTATTCATAATCCATGATTGGAAAAGATTGATTACCTTTGTATCACTGATCTATCTGATCTATGTTTTCAATGTTTCAATGGACGTAATCTACTAGATGAAAAGAAATCCGTGCGGGATATTAACAAATAAATAAATACTGCATATAAAAAAATACATACAAACTTTAGGTGGTTATAATCTCTCTAAAAAAAAGACCTAAAAGAGCGAAGTTTTAAAATTTTAATTCAATAAAAATTAAAAAAATTTAATAATATAAAATGCTAATTTTTTTAGTTCACAAACGGTAAAGAAAATTTTTATTATACCTGCCGAATTTTTTTTTTCTAGGGATTCGACAGTAAGTAGGTTTGTAAGTGACTTTGCATTTTAATTTTTTCTTGACAAAGACTTCAAGCCATTTTTAATATAAAATATTATAATAAATTATTCAATTATAAAATATAAATTTTACCCAGGCACTAATTAAGATCACCGATTTTACGACTTTGTATTTTTCGTGTTTTGTCATTCGCAAAACAAAATTAAAAAAAGATGATCAACGATCATCAGTGACCCCTAAAAAAATAAAGATGGTGACTCGGAGAATGATTCATCATAAATAAATGGATTTCAAGTTTACCCACGAAAGTTAGATTAAGATAATCAAACCACTTGCACTTTTATAGTAAGATCGGATTTAGAAAAAATCTTGGACTTTTATATTCCCACATAACTTTTTTCTTCGTCTTTCTAAATTTTAAATTTTCTCTCTTACTATAAGACCTCATTTTTCTTACTTTTTGGACTTTCAACTCTTTCAATTATCTAATTTCGTACTGCAAGTGCTAACCGTTTGTGAATAAATATATATAGCATCTCTAACGATGACGGTTATTAAGTAAGTTTTTCATTTACCGTAATTTTATTGTTGAATGTTTATATCAAACGCATATAATAAGTCTATAAGAGTACTTGTTTCAATATCATCTGGACTTGCGTATATTTCTCTGTGTCTATTTCTCACTTTTAAAAGTGAAAGTACTATTAGCTAACCAAATTTATTATTATTATTATTATTTAAATATAAAATAGGTTATCACCTCAAAGAATTATTTACCTATGTCATAAGAATATGGTTTTTGGATGCCTTATAAATCTACATCAATTACGAGCCTGCGGTAGATTAAAAGCCTTAATACATTTTATTTTGAAGAAATCTTTCAACAATCTAAAAGTATAGACGAGACGAGGAATAAAAAAGAATATAGAAAGTACCTAAACTGGGTGCTAAAAATAACCCCTCAAAAATTTCAGTGTGCACGATGGGAAGAGTGATGTTTACAGCATCTGTACACTTTTATGGGGGGTATAAAATGGTCGCGCTCCTGTTTATATAGGAGGCGGAAAATGCGACATCACAGAAATCAATTTAAATTTTATGTCGGTGTTTGTATATATGTCATCAGTCTAGTTGAGAAGGATTTAAAATCCCGTTAAAAGTCGAGAAAAAATTTATCACTTATATTTCAATCAAAATACACGAAAAGATGTGAATTTTAATTTATTGTAATAATAATATACTTCATAATTTCTATTTCTTTCTTAAGAACATTTGATTTTCTTTAACATTTAAAATTAATTTAAAAATGATAATTTAATTATTAACTAGTTTAATTACTAAAAATAAGCGTGTAAAAATAAATAAATAACGCGTCACGTAATTTAGGGAGTGTTTAAAAAAAGGAAACTCCTCCGAATATTAAATAATCGTCATTAGCCCTTCTTGCAGGCTGACACGAACTATTACCCAACAGTATCCGGATACTCTTCTTGCACATCTGTATCCGGATATTCTTCTTGTCCATCAGTATCGAATATTCTTCTTGTCCATCAGTATCGAATATTCTTCTTGTCCATCAGTAACCGAATATTCTTCTTCTTGTCCATCAGTATCCGGGTAGACTCCAATTTCTTTACGGAGAATATTACTCCTCTTGCCGGATACTCTTATTCTCTCCCAGCAGTTGGTCGGATAAGGATAATCCTTTTGCCTCATTCGCAAATGACCAAAGTCAATGTTACATATAATTATAACATTTCTAGTTTCTACATTTTTACTTTTGAATTTCTGTGAAGGTTTATTATCGTGCTTGTATGTCATTTTATTTGAATAAAGCGCAAATTTTTGTGAATTAAAAGGGTTTAGGTTTACTTTTATGATTTTTATGATGAAATTTTATCTTTTTGTTATAAACCGATTTTTGAAAGGGTTTTTCAGAGGTTCTTTTATAATGAAAAAGTTTTTATTATTTGTCATAAATTAAATGTAACATTGACTTGTTTCTGACACAAAGAATCCTTTACCAACTCTTTTATGATTAAAAAAAACAGGTTTGTCAGGTTACACTTTATAGAGCACAAATAAAAGGGTTGAATTTAATTAACTTTTTTAGAAAACAAAAAAAATAAAATAAAAAATAAAATCCGTAAAGTTTTGCCAAAAGAAGATATTCATTTAAAAAAAAATGAGGGTTTGTTTACAACAGATAAACAAATTGTTGAATGATGTTATGTTTATCATTTCCCTATTAGAAAAGTTCTGGTCCGTAAATAATGTTTAGAATATAACATTTATTGTCGAATAAAAAAAAAAAATCAATCTAGACTGGAATTTTTAATTTAATTACTTTTGGGGTATTGTTGATTAGTAATTAAATGAGTATATCAGTGGGACGGTAGAAACCCGATTGATTCCAATTTTTTTTTTTTTTTGTTGGTATTTATTTCTCCTGCTAAAATGTGAAAATGTGCTAAGCCCTTCCAAATCTCAAAAGGGACTATGTTATCATATGATGTTTTAGTAAGATATTTGCTAAGCAGACATCATGGATGATCGGAATATCTAAAATTGTAATAAAATGATCTTTTTACAAAAAAATAATTCAGATGGGAGGCGGAAAATCCAAATTTTGGTCACTTGGCTGATCTCGGTTTTATGCATCAAAATTAGCTTAATAATTAAAAATTAGCACTAACCGTATTCCATATATTGTATAATTTTAATCTTATTTATTAATTTAGAGACAATATTAATTTTAAATTTTATCAATATAAGACATTATAAAACAATTTAATCTACAAATAATTCAATTAACAAATTTTATTTTAAGTTATAATAATTTAAATATAAATACATTAAAAACTAAATTTATTTAAATAAATTAATTATAATTATAAACAAATTATTTTTGTTAATCTAGACTTATAAAATATTTTTAATTTAATAGATATTAAACTAATAACATCAAATTTAATAATAAATTATCGATTAATATTTTATTTTCAATTAATAATAAATATACTTGTTAATAAATAATACTAATATTACAGATACTTTTGTTTTAATAAACTAAATTAAGAAAATTAACATTACATTATTTTTAGATAATCTAGTTAAAATTTTCTTAAATTAAACATATTATAAAAAAAATTTAATAGTTGCTTAATTTTTTTTTAATAAATAAAAAAATTATATTTTTATATTTATATTATATGTATATATCAATTTTAAAATATGAAAATATAAATATTTTCAAATTTGTATATATTTTTATCTATTTAATCATATTATTCAATATAAAATAAAATTATTTTAAATATAAATAAATTAATAGTTTATAATTAATTAAAAACTCATAAAATTATTGTTTATATTCTAAATATTCTGAAAATACAATTGTAAAATATACTAATTTTAATAATGATAATATATTAAATATTAAAAGATCAAACAACTTTTATAAATAAAAATAATAAGTATTAAGAAACAAACAATAGTAAAACAGATAATCTAAATTTTAGTTAAATTTATTTTATTTATCACTTTTAACTATATAAATAAATTTAATATATAATTAAAATTAGATTTCTTATCTTTTTTACTAATTACCTTATATATATTAATGCAAAATATATATATAACTAGGGAACGTGATCTGTTTAAAGTCTGAAGCATGATATGGTATATAAATTATAATATTATATTTCACATGATTAATTATTTTGTAACACAAAAGACATAATATGTGATAATGTAAACAAAATATCATTTGTTATCAGGCTTGCCAAATTTGGACGGACAGAATGACCTTGCATTTGAATGTCATAGTAGTAAAGTGTCCTCCGCTATGCTTTAGACAAAAAATAGGCATTTTTTATAAAATTTTTAGAATTTAAAAATTGAAAATTTCACAAAATATTATTTAAAATAAAAATAATGATAATATAATCAATAACAAATAAGTATTATCTTTTTATAATTATATATAATATTATTAAAAATTAGCATTATTTAGGTAAAAGTCTTGATTTTATGTTTAATTGTAATTTATTATAATAAATATAATAAATATTATAGATATTATCATTAATAAAAATTTAGCATTAAAAAATTGATCTGCAAAAGGAATTTTACAAGAATTAATTAAATTTAATTTTATTTTAATTATAAAATTAAAGGATCTACATAATTCCTAATTTAAATAATTTTTATAATATTTTTAATATTTCCAATTCCAATAAATCTGATATATCTGATTTTTAATATATTTAAAATTTTTTTTATACTTTTTATATTTATTATCTTTGGTATATTTATTATTTTTTTTATATTTTATATATCTGTTTTATTATAAATAAAATAGTTTTTTAATAATATAAAAATTAAGGTTATAGTTAAAGTTGCTTGATGAAATCCAGAGTTTAGACAGATATCTAAATGGTAAAGTAAAACTTAATTAAATTATATTAAAATCTTATTAAAAATTTGCAAAATTTAGAAAAAGGTAAAACTATATTAAAGCTTATAAAAATGGTGAAATTATATCAAAAACTTAGTAAAAATTTAGTGAATTAAAGATTTAGACGTTTAGCCAAATCCAAAATAAGTTTAGACAAGCAACCTTAGTTATAATAAATCTAAAAATATTAATAGGTCTAATATTAATAATAAAATAAAATAAATAAAGGAATCAATATTAAATATAAATTTTTTTCTTTTTTGTGTCTTCTATTTAGAACTTGATATGATACCTTCTACTATATTATATATTTTAGTTTATTTATTATTATTTTGTAAAGAAATTATAAATAAAGTAAAGATATATATTATCAGTTTAAGAAGTCAAACTTCTCGAGATATCAATAAAATATAAAATTTCTTAAGGCAAAAACTCTGTAGAAAATATCTGTTTTATATTGTAGATAATTTTAACAAAAGAAACAGATATTTAATTAAAAAAATGAATGTAAATTATTATTATATAAGGAATAGAAGTAAAATTTTTATGTTAACTATAAGGTTAATAGAAAAATTAAAGGATTTTTTTACTTGTTAAAATTGCTAAAATGCTAAAATTTTGCTAAAATTATATTAAAATCTTATAAAATTTATAAAAACTATGACAAAATACTAAAATACTGAAACTATTATAGTAAATAATAAAACTGAAAAAATTATTGTTAATGTGAAATTCTTGTGAACTACAACTGTTAGACGGAGTGTCAGAGTGTTATTTCTTTTTAATTGCACAGTAATCTTAAGGCTTTTACAAGTTTATTATCACGATTAATTCAAGTAAAGATTTCAAGTCAAGGTTATACGAGTATTTCACGATCGATAATTCACAAGGTATTGAGTAATTATATTTTCAAGCAAGATATTTATTGATAAGAATAGAAATAGAAATAAAGACAATAAAAGATATGCAAGAGAAAAGAAAAGAAAAGAAAAGAAACGAAGTATGAAACTAAAAATGTAATACAATAGGCCTGTTTGCCTTTTAAAAACTACTAAAAACTGACTTGTCAAATCCTACTTTTTACATGGTCTAAAAAGCTACCTATTTATATAAAATACAGTATATAGAAAGATATAACTAATATGTTTAATATATCGTAAATGTCAAATATGTCCGATATGTCATATATGTTGAATTTGTCTAATATATCCTATTTGTCGATCATGTCAGAAATATCAAATTTGTTAGATTTGTCGTATTTGTCAGATTTGTCGATCATCTGCACCATGTAAGTCCTATCATATTTTATCCGTTCACATTACTCCCCGCTTAAGATTTCTGCTCCTGCAGAAATGTCAAGAGTTTTCAATAGAAGAGCTTGATATTTGCTAGACTTCAGTTGGTGAACCATGGTCAAGGTTAAGCGTTGAGTAGTGAAAATTCATTGGACTCCTAAGTTTTCAAAGAGGTGATAAACTCAGATAGCAGTTCAGTAATAATGTTTCAAAAGCGTTGCCATTTGTAATGTCCGTTGAGCAGAAGAAGTAGTTGCTGCATCAATAAGTTGACCTAAATAATAAGCATTTACAAGAGACAAAAAACAATTTCTTATATGTGTAGAGCGAAGTAAAGTTTGATATGTCAATTGCACTTTTTGTGTCAATATTGCATCAGTTGATAAGGTGGCGTCATCAGTTGAATTTCTTCGTCAGAGAGGGTTATAGAATCTTGAAATTCTTTTAAGACAATTTTACTGTTAATTGATTCTATTACTATAGCAGCAGTCTAAAAGGTATTATAATAATAACATATATTATTTATAATAATTTTTAATGTCAATAATTATCATTCAATGATAATCTGAAGTTTCCATTCAGTCTATTCTAAATATGGTTTCAAAAGATCTGCATGTGTGGAGTTCTTTCTAACTCGTCCATCTAAAACACGAAGTTTATAAGTATCAGGTTTTACAATGTCATGAATATAAAAAGGTCCATTAAATTTATCTTTAAATTTGTCTCCATGAATGTGTGATTGTGTTACATTAAATAATAAAACTTTATCCCAATTTGATAAGAAATTCCAGGTCGATCCTTATTATAATGTTCCTATTACTGTTGTTATCATTGCATTATATTCTATTGTACATCTAATCATCATTGTTGTAATTGCAATGTGATTATCTGCTGGTGCTTTTCCATAGCATTTAATAGGTTACTAATAGGGGAAGGTCATCGCAATTGTAAATCTATTGGTAGAACTGTTTTTTGTTCATATAATAATTCAAATGACTCAAATTTCATTGTTTCTTGTTAGGCTGTATGATATGCAAAAAGTGCTGAAGTTAGATACGTATCGCATT